CAATGAATGAGATGTAACAAGATGTGTACGAACTGATGAATATGAAACTGATGATCCGCTCTGTAGACCATTACCTAAATCACAACAAAAAGTTTTCTTAAATGTGAAGTTATTAAATGAATTATATGTAATCCCAAAGATGTTAAAATAAAATGGACTCACTACATAAAAAGAAAAGAAAAGAAAAGTAGTTGCTGATGCTACTTATGGATAAGTAAACACTTCATGGAAGTTTGTTGCTTTGGTTCAATAACCTAAAAAAAAAAAAAGAAAGTCACAACTTCACTCTCTTCTGCCAATCCAAGACTTTACCACACCATTGGCCCACCAGTTGTCTTTGAGTGGACTCGTGGCGAGTCGCTATGTGAAGAGTAGCACAGCTCCCTAGGGTTTTCAAGATGATAACCATTCGAAAGGCAATTGTAACCTTTCTGAAGCAGGGACTTCCCCCACACTATGTTGTGAATTGCCATCAAGTCCCAAGTCAACTTCAACACATAGCAAGTCCTTGGGTGGCAAGTCCTTAAGGGTTGGGCTACTAACTGAAAGACTGGTGGTTCAAATCCTCTCAAAAGCACCTTGGAAGAAAGGCCTGGCAATCTCCTTCAAAGTTTGACTCTGCACCTGGGATTACCATGAAGCCCCATCAACATGAAGGTGCCTAACTAGCTAACCACTAGCCAATGATAAGAACCACACAATGAGTGTGTCCATGTCAGTTAAAGTGCCCAACAATTTATACATTAACAAAGTGTGCCAACACATGCCCATAGTGGTTAATTTTCCTGACTGTTGCTAGCTGAGCCTAAAATCCCTCCCTAGATGGATGTAGTTTCTATGCCCAGCCAGTATGGTCCAGAGAAAATGGTCGAGTGAGTGAGCCCCCAACATTGTGGTGTTCAGCTGTGGCTCCTTTGGGGCCAGATGAATGGTCCTTCCCTCTGGTACGTCCCCGGGCCTCCCTCTGTCCAAGTGTTGAGTTGATGTCTTTATTGCTCATTCTCTGCCTGCCTGGGCATTACCTAATGGTTTCCTGAGAGAAGTCAGCGTCAGAAGCAGGGCTGTGCACCGATATTTTCTTGTCCTTTCCAGCGGAGACCTCTGGAAACAAAGGCAGGGTTATCACATGGACCCCAGGGCTGTCTGGGAAAGGCGGTGGCGGCAGTTATCGAAGTTGGAACCCTTTGGAACTACGCTTTTGTGTCCGTTTTGCCTTCGTTCAATCAGATCAACAAGTGTTGGCTAAGTGTTGAGCGTGGTTTCCTGTGGGATTGTGTAAGGCTCTGCAGGACAATAAACGTTCGGGGGGCACTGAGTAATGTAGCCATTTCTGACCCAGCAACCGGGAACACGTGAGACAATTTGCTGCTGTTGAAAGGACGAGGGCCGGAGCTGGGTTCCTGCAGCCCGCCAGCTTATCGGGCACCCGGGGAGCCAGACGGTGGAACCCGCGGAAATGGTATGTAGCAGCAGCGGCAGGTGTCTTTGCAGGAAAATAGGCTTTGATTCAGGTATTACGGGGGTCTGGAGTTTTCCAACTTTGAGGCGGCCCCTTACAAAACCAGAATCCAAAATTAGGACAGCAAAATCGCAAAGGCTTTAGAAGGGGCTGTGTGTCGTTTTGAGGCCCAAATGCTACCACTGCTAGCGTTTTACTGCTCAAAATTCCGTTCCGGGAAGAGATCAGGCTGTGTGGACGCTTCCTCTTATGACACCTCCCTTGCCCTATTCTTTGGACATTTGCTCATCTTGGGCTTTTCTCCTTGGCTTCTGAAAAGACAAGAAATATTCTCCTCTGGGCCTGGTGGTGACACATTGGGTTGTGGTCTGAAAGGTGAACAGCTCAAACCCCCCAGCTGCTCCACAGGAGAAGGACGGGGCTTTCTACTCCTATAAACAGTTAACAGTCTCAGAAACTTGCAGGGGCAGTTCTGCCCTGTCCTAGGGTCACTGTGAGTTGGAATCGACTGGATGGCAGTGCTTTGGGTATGGTTTCAGTTCTTTTCTTTTCCGGTAGAAGGATGTTATTTTAAATCGTGTCACTATTGAATCGAAGCTAACTCCTGAGGACCCCATGGGTGACAGAGTAGAAGCACTCCATGGGGTTCTCGTGGCCGGTCATCACGATGGCAGCGGATCTCCAGGCCTTTCCTTCACAGCACCACTAGTTGGGCTTAAACTGCCAACCCTTCCATCACTAGGCAAGTCACATGCAAACCATTTGGTCCTCTTGGGTTCCTGAACTTTTTTTCAATCAGGGGCCCTGGGGATTTTTTGATGTGGCCGTGGAAAGACAGGAGGGGGGTGAAGCCCCCCCCCCACCCCACCCCCCGGGCCATGGCACTCATAGCCACAGCCTTTTGAAAGTTCTTGTGAGCCACTATTACATCGTTGGATTTTACAAGCCGGGCTAGTGTACTGTGGTCTCAGCCAGCGCCCCTCCAACTGCACTCGACTGCTGGGGAGCTCAGAGGAGGCTAGCTTTGTCACAAGTTCCCAGGAGAGGCCATGGGTCCTGCTTTGATAATACCCAGGTATTTTTTCATCAATCTGGCTGGCTCGATCTGATTTTTCACTGAAGTAGTCCCCTGAGGGGAACTCGGAACCAGACTTACTGAGCATTGGACTTGAGACTAGGGAGCTCTTGCTGCCCCTTTTAGGACCCCAGGACTCAGAGAAGGGAGATGAGGACTGACATGTTATCACGGAACAGCATTTCATATTGTCTTCTTCTTTTTTGTTTTAGCTTTGTCTCTCATCTTGTTTTTCTGTTTGTTTGTTTTTCTTTACTTTGCCTACAGAGTGATGGGAAGACAGGGGGAAACAGTACATGTTTCTAAATTATTTTCCCTCGGCTAGTACTCGCTATACCTTTGTTTCCTCCTGGCGCCTCTTAAACCTTGAAGTGCTTGCTGTCTCACTCCCTGAAGAGGGTGGGGCATCTGAGGTTAAGCTGGGTTAAGTAACACATGGGGTTGCCTGGGGTCAGAGTAAGGATTTGAGCTTTTGTTGGCACCACCGCCAAAAGCAGGGATCCATGTTCACCTCCGTCAGCCGAAAGCCCAGAGACCACGCTGGGCAGAGGTTGGGTGGGCAGAAGGAAAAGGGAAAAGGACTTTGAAAAGGGAAAGATGAATTTCATACCCAAAGCAGGTTTTAAGTCCAACAGGCATAGCAGTGGGATTTTTGCCTTCTTTGTGAAAAACAAATGAACGACCTTCCCAAGGTGTCTGATTTTCAGAAAATCATTTTGGAGCAAAGAAGATGAAAGTCTTCAAATGCCAAGAACTTGAGTGTCCGTGTTAAAAGGATACCTGTTCGTTCATACCATGCTAAGGTCAGGGATAAGGAACTCCCAAATTGCATAATGAAGTGAAATTGGGACTGGCCGTGTTCTATGGAGCCCATCTTTGGGTTTCGCCATCTCCTTAGCACACACTTCTGAACCACGTTTTCTGATTCTAAATGGAGCTTTCTTTTTTAACTGCCTCTTTAAACTTACCATCATATTTTATTCAGTAACTTAGCAGGAAGATAAGCGGGTCTATGACTTCAAAAATAGTGCCATGAACATCTACATAGCTGTTGTAACTCTTGTGTGTCACCAAGTCCATTCCAAATTCCTGGCACTTGAAGTGTTTTTTAGCGGGGGGGGCGGGGGGTTCTGCTAATCTTTCACTGTTCAGTCACATATTCTTGACATTTCCAACAAAGGGTCCTGCCAATGAAGTCTGGTAAGACCCAAATTGTCATCAAATTCTGTCACCACAGCGTGCCTGAGCCAAGGTGCAGTCTGTTTAGTGAGACATGTGGATTTTGTGGTGTCTCTTATATCCAAACTTGGTGATCCTGGCTAAGTCACTTAGGCTGGTGAGGCCCAACGTCTCCTCTATAAATGACTCTGAGGGCTCCTACCAACCTTGACATTGTATGGCACCCTTCCTGTCCTTGGGTTGGCACACCCTTCACTTATGGTCAAGATGTGGGTGGAAGAGTTAAAATGTCTGGGTTAAAAATCTCAGCTCCACCACACTAGCAGTGTGACCTTGGCATATGATTTATCCCTCTAGTCACGCATGCAGCTAGCTGTAAGCAGGGGAAGGTGTGGCAACCTACCGCATAAGCTAGGAGTGTTGCGACCTGCCCTGTAGGGAGCTTGTGAGTAGTAAATGAATTGACATTTGCAAGGCTCCCTGGAACAGGACATCCCATGTGAGAAAGGAGGAAGGCGGCCACAAAGAGGCAGACTGTTAAGGAGATGGGTAGACACAGTGGCTGCAGCAATGCGCTCCCGCCTAACAGGTGTGAGGCTGCAGCAGCACCGGGCACTGTGTCCCTCTGTTGTCTGTTGGGTTGCTATGAGTCGGAGCTGACTAGACAGTACCTAATAGCAACAACCACTACCACCGAGCCTTGGAAGGCACTCTGGAGGGGCAATAGTGAAAGCTTCCACCCAGCTGCTCGGCTGATTCAAGCCCCCCCCCCCAGCCACTGTACTCTCCTTGAATGCTGCTGCTGCCATTAGCTGCCATCTAGTGGGCCGCAACTCCCAGTGGGCCCATACACAATGGAACCAAGCGGGGCCTGGTTCTGTCACCCCCATGGATCAGTTGGGAATCAGATCCTTGAGAGCTGGTGGGTTTACACTGACTAATTGTCAGAAGGCAATCATTCCATTTAGTCCAGAAACTCCACTGAAACTTACTCTGCATCCTGGAGCCACACAAACCTCCCCTGAGGCTGGTGGCTGGACTTGAGGTGCAGTGACCAAGAATCGAACCTGGGTCACCCGCACGGAAGGCCAGCCTTCTACCACAGAACCATTACTGCCCTTCTTCCCCTTCAATGTTTGCTGTCACCTGCTCATTGCCTTCCAAGGTCAACACCCTCCAGCAGCCTGGCGCAACCATAATGATGGACCCATGCCTCGCTCCCATGAGCTAATCTTCATTTCTCAACCAGACACTCCACTCAGGGAAGGGCACACCAGCAGCTCAATGTCATTTGTGCTGAGCAGCACAACAACTGTGAGCTCCCTACTCCCTGGACCGAGTTTCCTTCTAAATCTTGAAGAAGTATTGTGATGCCAAGTTCAGTTGGTTCAATACACACTGCTTATTCAGGTGATGTCTTCTGCAATGGTCGCTGGTGCCTTTAGAGAAAAGGCCATCTTGATTTTCACCAGTTTCTTGCCTCTCTCCCACGCTGGTTTCAGCTGCGTATGGAAATAGGCAGCCGTGGCTATTTGGTAAGCAAATTGGCATGTCTATTCTCTGAGGTGGGTGGGGGTAATCTGAGACTCCAGCCATATCCCTCTCCATCCTCTATGGAAATTGATTTCTGATTAATATTGGTCTTGAATTGCACTGTATTGGGATGGTCGCATCTGATGCCAAGAGACACAGAGTGCCTTTGGTTTAGAGTCCCAGATGTTTGGAGGGAAAACGAGAAACACAGGGAAGGGACAGATAATACAATAGGCAAGCCCTTCTGGACAATGTACTTAAACTTTCAATACAGGGGCTGATTACCCAGTGAGCAAGGATTTCCACTAGCAGATTTTCAGAGCCCCCACTGTGGATTATAAATTTGACAAGTCTCATTCGTAGGAACATGTTTCAGGCTTGGAGTTGGGGAGCAGGGGTGGAGAGATGCCAGGCAGCCCTTGAAGCAAAGTGGTGGATGTTGTTATAAAGGGTGTCATTGTTCACAACCCAGTAGTACATCAGCACAAGTCAGCCCACAATCACCTTGCTTACTGAGCACTTTGGCTCTGTCCGAACCGAACTCCACTGCCGACTCCTCTCCACTCCACCCCTTGCTTCGGACTCATAGAGACCCTAGAGAGCAGGGTTTCTGAGAATCCACAGGCTCTCTGCCGCTGTCATCTTCACAGGAGCGACTGCCTTATCTTTCTCCGGCAGAGCGGCCAGGGGGCGTGAACCACTGACTTTTGGTTTGCAGTGTAACGTTCACCCCACAACGTCACCAGGGATCCTTTCATCCCTAGGCAGAAAAAGCAAACTCCCTACTGTCAAGTCAATGCCAATTCATAGCGACTCTACCGGGCAGAGTAGACCTGCGCCTATGAGTTTCCAAGACTCACTTTTTTTTTTTTTGGGGGGGGGGGTCTACATTGTATGAGTTTTTATTTCACAAATCTTATTTAATGTCAATAAATTTTATTTAAGGAATTTCACATGTCTTTCATTTGCTATCCATCAGTTACTATTTAATTCCTCCAAATCTTGTCAAAGTTCATCTTCAAGATAGCCCTTTTAAAAGGAACCCATTGCTAAAACCCACCGCCCTTGTCAAGATACCAGTCAGTAGGCAGATGTATCATCTTCCTAGTAATGCCACTTTAACCTCCAATTATGGACAAATATCAAACATTTCGTGCCTATTGTTCACTTCAGGACCATCTTTGGATCTGCGTCGTTTCATTCTGCCTTCCCCAGCATTTCTGATGCCCTCAGACCTCCGCGATGAGTTGAAATCCCTTGCAGTTCCCAAGAAACGTGCAGCTAGCACTGCAGATTATGCCAATACCTAAGGATCAAAACCATGTAGCTATTAGATTGTTGTTACTATCTGCAATGTGTCTTATCGTTCGTCTCACAGATCCAACCAATAGTTCTGTGAGTAAAGCAAACCACATAGTTACTCTAGGAGGTGCTTCCAACAACGTAGGTCTATAGACCCATTGGGATAGACCTGTCGGGATAGACCTCAAGCGAGGCTAACTCTATGGGAAAGCCCTGTGTTTCTCCCGTAGAGCAGCTGATGGTTTTGAATTGCAGACTTTGAGGATCGAAGCCCAACTCGCAACCTCTTTGTCACCAGGGCTCCTTTTGTCCCTATTACTCACTTCCATCAAGTTGATGCCATCTGATAGCCTATTAGACAGGGTAGAACTGCCCCTGTAGGTTTCTGAGACTTGACGCTTTCCGGGAATAGAAAGCCTCATCTTTCTACATTTGAAAAGAGACTTTGATGCTGTAGGAAGGAGCTGTGGGGTTGAGAGAGAGACAGATGTCAACCAGACCTAGAAACAGACAGAATCTTTGATGTGACAAAAAGATGTGAAATTATTCACTAGAGATGAGTTGGTAAGCACAAGTAAGCCCAGGCCTACCTCAGGAGTCCCATTTCTCAGCAGCTTCTGCGACTCAAAATATCAATATTTCATTTAAAAAATCCCCCAAAGGTCCATCTAATTTAAAGCAGGCCTGTGCAAGTTCTAGAAAGAAACAAGGCATTTCTACCATTCTGCTCTCGTTAGGATTTCCAGCCTCGGAAACCCACAGGGACTGTTCTATTCTATCTTATGGGGGTGCTTGGAGGAGAAATTAACTCAATAGCAGAGAGCAGAGTGTTAGCGTGTTGAAAAGTGGTGGGATGGGTCATAAGTCAGGAAGCAAGCTAGCTGGGTTTTATTGTGACTTCTTCAAGGTCAGGCTACATTCCTTTTGTCTCCTTTGGTCCCACCTCCCTGGTCATAGTGGGCTCATGATATTCCTGGGTCAGGAAGAAGTGCCCATTAGTGATTGGATGGGGTCCCTTGGCACCCACCTCCATGCAAACAGAGCCATGCCTATGTGAGTACTTCCTGATCAGGAATGATAAACAGCATGCAAAATAGCTTCTTTTTAATACCTGACCACGCCATAGCCAGAGGCCACATGAGTGGCAGCACCTTGAAGCAATCATTTTGCCTTTAGAGCTTGAGAGTTCGACTTAAGGATTCTTTCCATCCATAGGCTTTGGCTCTAGCTAGTAGAAGGTGAGTCGAGTTCATTACCTTCCGATGATCAACCAGCCAGGAAAGACTGCAGCCATTGGCTGCCTGACTGTGAATAACTATGGGAACTCACAAAGCCATGGCTGAGCTTGACGTTGTTCCATTTTGTGACCAGAGCTGATAAAAGTCTCAGTAAGGGTAGAAACAACATACGTTCGCTTACCAGAAATACCTTCCATTTGTATCTGTGGTTTCACGTGATTGTTCAGGGCTGGGCTTAGCAAAGGTGGTTTTTAGATGGTAAATGTGCCAGTGCTTTTTTGCTTTTCCATCTCTTTTGAAAATACTTTCTAGTGCTCTCATTTCCGTTCTCTCTTGGGTCTTTTGTTTTGATTTCACATTCTTTTTTGCTTGCTTGCTTGCTTTGTTTTGTTTTGATTTTAAATTCTTGGATAACATGTGATTACAGTGAGTTTTCATGGGTGGTCTGGAGGTCAGGAGAAAGATGGTGATGCCAGAGTGGGAAATGGGTTCAATGATGAAAATGCTTTTTAAATCACTATGTGTGTGTATGTGTGTGTAAATTTGGGGGGGCGAGAATCAAAGGCAGGATAGTGGAGGAATTGTATAAGTCTGTGAACACACGAAAATCCTCTTAGTTACATTTAGGCTGTTCCTTGACGAGAATTAAAACCAAACTTACTGCCATCGAGCCAATGCTGGCTCACAGTGACCTTAGAGGACAGAGTAGAACTGCCTCTAGGTTTCCCAGGCTGTAAATCCTTCCGGGCGTAGAAAGCCTCATCTTTCTCCCTGAAAGTGGCTGGTGGTTTTGAATTGCTGACCTTGTGGTTAGCAGTCCATCATGTAAGCCACTACGCCACCAGGACACGGAATGGAAACTAGCGAGGACCTTGCTAGATGCTGCCAACTCCCCTTGTAATGTCTTCCTTTGCTTTTCAGGACGATAATATGGATTCAAAATCCATCCTGGAGGAACTTCTTCTCAAAAGGTCACAGCAAAAGAAGAAAATGTCACCAAATAATTACAAAGAACGCCTTTTTGTTTTGACCAAAACAAACCTCTCCTACTACGAATATGACAAAATGGTGAGCCCTGCTTATGCATTGTTTTAATAGTGTTTATTTTTTCTAAAGTCTCCACAAGAAAGCGGGATGAGGTTTCTTAGGTTACATAATAAAGAACTTCTTATATTCATTCACTTATTCACAGTGACTTTCCTTCACCAGGTATCATTGACTCAAGATCATTTATTTTAAAATGCCCGCCCATGAACCCTACTAATCCAAGTAGGAACCAGGCCCACCTTACTCTCCAGGGGCCATTTGACCCATTTGGCGGTGATGCTCAGAGATATCTAGTGGGTAAAGACCAAGGACGTCAAAATCCTACAGTGCACAGGACAGTTCTCCTAGGGCCACACCCAAGCTCACTGCCACCTGGTCGCTTTCAACCAGAAATGCTTCCTTGAAATATTGCCGGAAGTCCTTTCAGTATAGTTGCGAATTCTCCTACAGTGAGTTCGATAAAATGCTATCATAGGTGTGAGTGGCAAAACAGGGAGGGTAAAGGGAGAATGGGTAGGAAAGAGGGAACCAATTACATGGAACTGTGTGTGACCTCCTCCCTGGGGGACGGACAACTGAAAAGTGGATGAAGGGAGACGTCGGACAGGGCAAGATATGACAAAATACCCATTTATAAACTATCAAGGGCTCATGCGGGAGGGGGGAGCGGGGAGGGAGGGGAAAAATGAGGACCTAATGTCAGGGGTTTAAATGGAGAGAAAATGTTTTGAGAAACGATGTACAAATGCGCTTTACACAATTGATGTGTGTATGGATTGGGATAACAGTTGTATGAGCCCCTAATAAAATGTTAAAAAAAAATGCTATCATAGAAGCGAAGCAACAAGAAGATGCTTTGTGGAGTTGAATCTTAGTTTTCCTCAGTAGATTAACCCCCTGATGGGTGGTTTGAAACACATTGCAAGTTTATCTCACGCAATTCTTAAGGGCTGGCTCAAGACCACAAATGATACTAAAACAATTCCCAGCCTGGTTTCAAGGCCCACACTCAAGAACTAGGTCCTCTGTCATTGGATCTTGGCGATGACAGATGAGCCAGAAGGTGATTTTTCTATACCTGTCCCTGCTCCCCAGAAGCGTCCCCATCCCTCAAGCAGAACCTTAACTTTATGCTTCATTTTGTGTGCCAGAGGCGGCCTCTTCTCCTTTGCTTTTTAAAAATAATTTTATTGGGGGCTCGTACAACTCTTATCACAATCCATCCATCCATTGTGTCAAGCATATTTGTATATTTGTTGGCATCATCATTCTCAAAACATTTGCCTTCTGCTTGAGCCCTTGGTATCAGCTCCTCATTTTTCCCCTCCCTCCCTGCTCCCCCCTCTCTCATGAACCCTTGACAATTTATAAATTATTATTATTTTGGCATATCTTACCCACTCCCTTCACCCACTTTTCTGTCATCCATCCTCCAGGGAGGAGGTTATATGTAGATCCTTGTAATTGGTTCCCCCTTCACACTACACCCTCCCTCCACCCTCTCAGTATCGCCACTCTCACCACTGGTCCTGAAGGGATCATCCATCCTGGATTCCCTGTGTTTCCAACTCCCATCTGTACCAGTGTACATCCTTTGGTCTAGCCAGATTTGTAAGGTAGAATTAGAATCATGATAGTGGGGAGGGGGCGGAGAGGAAGCATTTAGGAACTAGAGGAAAGTTGTATGTGTCCGTGTTGCTAGACTGCACCTTGACTCACTCGTCTCCTCCCCGAGACCGTTCTGTAAGGGGATGTCCAGTTGCCTACAGATGGGTCTCGGGACCCCAATCTGCACTCCCCCTCATTCACAATGATTTGATTTTTTGTTCTTTGATGCCTGATACCTGATCCCTTTGGCACCTTGTGATCACACAGGCTGGTGTGCTTCTTCCATATGGGCTTTGTTGCTTCTGAGCTAGATGGCCACTTGTTTGCCTTCAAGACTTTAAAACCCCAGGCACTATATCTTTTGATAGCTGGGCACCATCAGCTTTCTTCACCACTTTTGCTTATGTGCCCATTTGCCTTCAGTGATCGAATCAGGAAGGTGAGCACACAATGATATGACTTTTTGTTCTTTGATGCCTGATAACTGATCCCTTCAGCACCTTACGATCACACAGGCTGGTGTGCCTCTTCCATGTGGGCTTTGTTGCTTCTGAGCTAGATTGGTGCTTGTTTGCCTTCAAGCCTTTAAGACCCTAGATGCTATATCTTTTCATAGCCAGGCTCCATCAGCTTTCTTCACATTTGCTTATGCACCCACTTTGTCTTCACTGATCGTGTTGGGAAGGTGAACATCATGGAATTCCAGTTTAATAGAACCAAGTATTCTTGCATTGAGAGAGTACTTGAGTGGAAGCCCAATATCCATCTGCTCTATCTTAATACTAAACCTATAAAGATATGCACATAGATCTATTTCCCCATCCTCATATATAAATATATTTATGTATATACATGCTTTCATTTAGACCTCTATAAATCCCCATTTACCTTCTCATTTGCTTTTTGTGCACCCAGAAAAGAGGCAGCAGGAAAGGCACCATCGAGATCAAGAAAATCAGATGTGTGGAGAAGGTAAACCTGGAGGAGCAGACTCCCGTGGAGAGACAGTACCCATTTCAGGTACAGCGAAGAGCAGCACCCCGGTGCCATCTGACAGGCTGATCCTTCAAGGCTTCCTCTTAGGGATTCAACAGTGATGCTGCAGAATGATCATTTGTGGAGACAAGGCCAGGGCTTTGTGGTGGAGCCAATGGTCAAGCGCTGGGCTGCTGATTGAAAGTTTGGTGTGTGTGTGTGTGTGTGTGTGTGTGTGTGTGTGTGTGTTAGGGGTGGGGGGTTTGAACTCAGCAAGATGAACCTCCATATGAAAGCCTGGGGTTTGGCCTCTGAAAAGTCACAGCTGTGAAAGCCCTACAGAACCCCCACGT